ACAATTCAATGCAGCAGCAAAGATCCTAGAAGCAGATGTCTTGCCTGTACCACGAGGACCATGGAAGAGATAAAACGATGTTATCCTTCCTCTAGAAATGGCACCCAAAAGAGATCTTCCTACCACATTTTGTCCAACCAAGTCAGTGAAAGATTTTGGCTTGAATTTCATACATAAACTTCTAGGAGTTTCCAAATTTGGACTAGTTCCACCACCCATGTGTCTCATGCTTCTATGTTCATAATGATATTTCTCATTATCATGCTGCAACATCAGGGGAAGGTCTTCTTTTTCAGAATAATTATTTGATTCTCTTGGTGATTTTGACCAACAACAGCTTATTCCACATCCATCATGATTATCTAAAACATCTACATCTTCAGTTATATATGGTGAAGTGCTATGCGTCGAGAGAGCATCACCAACAGGAAGGCATGGACTACCTGATTGGCTTGCAATATCACCCATCATTTTAGATCGTTTCACTTGATTCTTGCGTAGTGACTTTCCGTTCGACTTTGAGTATTCTATTCTCCCTAATTGTGATGATAATGCAGTTGATGAATAGCATGATTTCTCATTCCTCAAGTGATTAATAGGAGGCATGACGCAAGCCAAATCCAATCCTCTACCCCCATGGTTGCTACAACAGCTTTCACTTGGTGATTTATTTCCTGAAATGCCATCCGGATTAGGATTAGAGTACCGTAGTTCATCAACTCGCTGCCCTTCCTTACCTGAGACCCCATAATAGTTAAGCTTGGATTTCAAAAGGCCACAATTCAATTCAAAATCAGTAGTATCCTGCTCTCTTTGCCCATTAAAATCTGGATTCTTGGTTCTTAAAATGCCATCATCATCAGAACCACGTGCATAAGGAGCCTCAAGGAACCGCAGCGAAATCCCATTACCCGAACCATTTTCCCAATGTACATTATCAATCAAAGGAGAAAGTTTGCTAATACAATTAGCTGAAGGATCCCTCAATGATCTGACCCTCCTCAATGCTACAAGAGTTTTAGAAATAGGAATATCAACTGAATGTCTTCTCCCATCCATCATTGTCTTACACTTATATAATCAGAACCCCACTAAGCAATGAAACTCCAACCTAGAAACAAAGAACACAAAAAAATGAAAAACATAATTCTTGCAACAACAAAAACAGAAAGTACTTTGCTCAAAAAATAGAGATTGGGGTGAGAAACGAAATTACTTCATAAAGCACCATACTCCAGAAAATAAGCATAGAATCACAATCCTTTCCTTTTCCCAAAAGAGCATAAAAATGAAATGGTGTTAGATTGTGATTTTAGACTGTGATTATATTCATTATGAGAATATAAACTAGACAATAAAATAAAACCAATCTATCAAAAGTTTAGTTTTCCAAAATAAACAAAAAACTTATACCACAAATATAGGCACAAAAGTAGAGTCTACTGAAATTTTTGCATCGTAGCTGAATGCAAATACATGTACTTCATCTTCACTTTACAACCACCGGAAAAATAACAATAATGGGGGATAAAGGAAAGGTTTTTCCCCTCGCTGACAGCTTTATAGGAGCATTCAACTGGAAAATGAGCAAAAAAACTAACAAACAAGAAAATGAGAAGAAAAAAATGAAGTACCTTTGATCAGAGAGAAAAAAAATTGCAACTAGCAAGTAAGCTTAGTTCTTAACTCTAACAGTAATGTGTACTGTTTCTATTTTCGTCAGTATATTATAATGGAAATAAGGACTAGAATGAAGTGAGAATCTTGAGTTCAAAATTTAGTATAATATAATGTATATAGAAACGGACAATGCAAATAACAAAGTTAAAACAAATAAAATATACAATAAAAAAACAAAAAACAAAACAAACCTGAGCACATAGAAACAAGCAAAAACTTGGAAACTGACAAAGAAAAACCCGTGGAATGGGGTAACGAAGAAAATGGGTCGTTGAAAAATCCGAACTTGAAAAGAATGGGCTTGGTGTTGGAGCCTGGTGAATGGTGATATAAGACATAGCATGGTAGTAGAAGAGGAAGAGATAGAAAAGTAGTAGAAGGTGAGAAATGGCAATGTAATAAATATATGTAATAAATGTGAGGGTGTGTTAGGCACGCCATTAGTTGTCACAAAAGTGTTGGGTAGATTCTGTCGTACCCTTTGTGCATGAAGTGTTCGGGATGGGGCTTTTTGGTAATTTGAGTTAAAGAAAACTTCAGTTAATATGGTTGATGGAGAGAAAAGGTGACTGTGGTCTGCTTCTACTTTCTGTAGTGTTTCCAACAGTGATGCATATTTCACTTTCCAATGCCTTGGTACAAAGGGGTTGGTCTTCTTGAATGAATGAAAGTAGACATCGATAACCAACACTTTTTTACTCACTTTTTGTAGGTTTCAAATCAATATTCCTACTTTAGATTTATTTTTCTAAGCTGCAAAAGCTACATGTAATTTTAAAAAGTGTATTCTTTACAGTACAATGGTAACGGTCGAACTCGGAACCCTTATAAATATATATAATCAAATAATTTATGTCACCGTTTTGTTTCAAAAGATCCAATACATTGTATATAAAATATTTGTATGCACCCAAAAAGATTTGAGTAAAATATTTATATAAGTTTCAGAATGGGTTAATTATTTTAGAAGTGATGACAGAAGTAAAATATCTCGATACAACCATTTTGTAGCACATTTTTTACTTTGGAATTCATAAAACAATATATGATGACATAAGTAATTGAATTGTCTACCCACCTGGATATTGTGCTTGTTATTCAAGTTTGAGAACCTGTCATAGTGTTAGGCAAAATCTGCAAGCGCAGACCTATAACTGTTGCAGCCAGACAATAACCATTTAGGATTACAACTTGGTTATTATGATAAGGAGCGGTAACACTGTGGTGAGGGTTCTGGTTCACGGATTAAATAGTATAGGCGCCCCTCATCTGCAATTTATTACGGAAAATACTCTGCACATTTTGTGAATGCTTTTACCACACACCGACATGGTCACACCCATTAATTAGATAAATTCACAAGGCTCTCCTATTTTAATGTCATATGCATGTAACGTACTTCAAACACCAATAAAAAATGAATCAGTAAATATGATGTATAAAGCAGTGGTCGATAGTACAAGATTATAAGTGGGACTTAGTTCAATTTGGAATGGTGATTTTCTTAAGATTAATTAGTCTTTTTTTTACTTTTACCTGAAATGTAGGATATAATCTTTTGAAAATGGTTAAAGAACAAGTGGACTTTCCATAATAATATATTTTATAGGAATCTTAAACTCCAATTTAGAACCACTATGTTTAAGCAACTCAATTTTATACCAGAACTAACCGGAGTTGTTTTCTTACACCTTAATCTTCTAATAATAGTATTATGGTATAATTTCGTGTTCGTGGATTTAATTGCAATGACGGCACAACGAATATAAGTTTTCTTACTATATAAACTAATAAATGACAAACATAACTCTAATAATGAGAAACATAACTAGAAATAATTTGAAACCACAATATTCTTTTTTTTTAGATATCTTCCTTTTGACATTCTTTTAAAATGATTTCATTGATTTTGCTAATTCGACCGGACGAGACAGTGATTTTATGCGTAAAATTTGAGTCGAATTAATTCATACCAACTCTGATTCTTGATCGACTTATTATAAATCAAAGAGCAAAAAAAACGTGTACTTAATTCATTCAATGAATATAATTGAAGAATGGATTGAATGTTAAATGAGTTACAGGGAATGTTTTTTTATAAAAGGAAGAAAGAACTAACTAACCTAACAACCAAAACTAACTAACCAACTAACCACTTTTATTCTTAGAGTAATAACTTGGGTTAGAACCAACCCAACAATACAATCTTACATATTTACATACATTATTACTTACAATGGAATACGGATCCTCTGCTGTACTGGAGGGTCCAGTACAGCCAGAGATGACGACACGTGACACTTAAAATTTTTTAACGGTGTAGATTTGAAGTTATTTTTAATTAAAACATTTTTTTAACATTTCAAACAATCTGAGCCTCACATCCAGTACTGGATAGGATCCCAACTCCTTACAATGATACAATATATTTCAACACAACCGGATGAATGACTTAGACCGATTATATGACCATTGCATATCGAATTGACCAATTTGAGTCCATTATGTAACTCAATCTCTATTCTACGTTGGTGTTTTTTTAACAGATAACATTCTTACGTGCATGTAGACATCACTACTTTAGCTGCTGTTTTCCAAAATGAAACATGTAATTTTGCCCACGTGACCAAATTTATATGTGTTATTATGTGGTTAAAATATGTAGTATGGAGTTTAAATCTAAACTCAATCACGAAAATAAGTTGATTATGGTTATTAGTCTTCGGCCCACTAATATTAAAGAACACAGGCTTGATAAGTCCCAATTGTTTTTAACGTGATATGTTTATGGGCTCACCCGGTCATCATCTCATGGTCCAAATATTTGAGAGAAACCGAATCTTTACACCACATATATTATTTTTTGTTAATTAATAATTAATATAAAAGTAAGGTCCATGCCGTAAAATTCACTAGCATACTTGAGTTTTTAAAAATTATACCATGAGATACATGTGAGTCATATGAACAAGGTTCAATATGGTTGGTAGGTTAATGATTTTATAATGAGAACTCATTTTAACAATGTTTATATTAGTTGAATGACACCCTTATATATATCAAATATATACATGAGAGTCCAAAAGGTGTGGTTTTTTTTTTTACTTAAAAAGACAGGTAATAAAGATGTTGACTGGTATAAGTTTGTTTTTTGTGAAGCAAGTTTCGGCTTTGAGTCTTGCATATAGATAAAAAATCATGATGAGATCGACTCGAATGGATTGTCAATATCCATAGTTAAACAAACATTGAGAAACCTATTCTAAAATACAACTATACAAGTACTCATGAAACTTTACAAACTTGAGGAAATATATGCATTAACTCTGGAAGAAAAGCATACGACTGAAACAAATACAAATATGCATATATATAACGTAAAAATCACAAAGAAATTTGTAAAATAAATATAAAAAGGGAATAAAAACAGATAAGTGCACAGAATGGGAAAAAAGAGTCACATACCACTCCATGTACCATATTTGATGAAGCAGAATGATCATGATTACTACAGATAATTACAAACACTTGTTTTTCTGAAGGATATAATCATATCAACTAAATAAATGGAGTGAAACGTGTTCCTCTATAACTTCAAATTATTGTGCAACTATGTGTTCCTCCTAGCTGTCTATTAATTAGATCCATGCTCCTAATTAAATCTCAATTTAATAACCTCTATTATCTTTTTAAATGTTCAAATAAATGAAAAAGTGAGCTAAATGTCAAACCAATTAATCAGAAACGAACCCATGTTGTTAATGAATAATTGAATATTACTCGAAAATAACAAGGTTTTGATTGAAAATTGATTGAACCCATTTTATTTAACCCATGTTGATAAATATCACACATGAATTTGATTGAAAATTGAACATTGCGTTCCGTAACTTATGGCTTAAATAACAATGTATTATAGTGACTTTACTCAAACAAACACACATTTTTGTGTGTGGAGAAAACCAAATAGAAAACAAAGCCAAAGCTTTGTGTGCAGCAACAAGAAGAAATGAAGAAACAGAGATGAAGAAGAAGATGAAATCGAGAGAGAAAGAGAATTTGTGGGTTTATCTCAAGGAAGAAGATGAGTAAGGTTAGAGAATAATGTGTATGAATAATATCTCTTGTGTTATTGCATTGATTTATGAATTTGAATACAAAACCATATATAGTAAAACTAACAACTAACTCAACTAGAAAAACTAACTAGATTTTCCCAAAACAGAAAGTCTTTCACTAAGCCTTATTATGCTTGTATTTGAATCACATTCAACAATTTTCAAAACCACATGTGATCGAAGGACTAAAGAGAATTACGGTTTAGGATCCATAATTTAATTCTTTTATGTTTTAACCTTAATCTTTGTCTCTATTTTATAATACTCTAATTGAGTACAGCTATGGCAACTAAATAAATAGCTGATGCCTGATAGTGATGATTTGATGCTAATTAGTAAAAGTTAACATATATGCTTTAACATACAAATAATTGACACGGTGTTGTTAGGGACAGGTAATAAAGACAATGAACATAAAAAGAAAAGGGTACAAATATTTGGGAAAAGAATTAGTCTTATATTTAATATCAGATTAAGCATGACTCATAATCATGGTTAATACTAGTTATTAGTGAATTTGTGAATAGGAACCATAACTAGGAGAGGGTGGTGATAATGCTATTGGTAGAAAGACAAAATAAAGTTTCGAGCTATTGTGACTGATGAATAATTTGACAATTAGGTAGCTATCTCCTTGTCCTATTTCGTGAAGGGAAAAGTGTTGCTCCATGTGATGAGTGAAACAATTCTTTAGAAGCCTTCTTTTGATGTTGAACCATTTAACATAAGGGCCTCATTTGGTCCCTCCCTATACAAATGGCTCAAAATAGTGACTTTCTATCTTTTTTGTCTATCATTAGGAATCTCCATTTAAATGTCTTTCCTTTTCACCGATTAAAAATATTCACGTACTAACATTTGTCTATAAAAAATATTTTTCATTATATAAATTGCAGCCAAAAAATGATTATTAAATTTACCTTGTAATTTTGTTTGTTTATTAATGATGATATACTACATTTGGATCCTCATCCCTTGTTTCCTGAAACATTGGAGTATGTATTCTGGCTAAGAATTTAATTAGGACCAAGTACGTATGCTTCAATTGTCAATTCACACAACAAAAATGGGAAGAGTACTTAAAAATTGATATTTCTCTTCAAAGCAAAGCGTCGGTAATATTTAATTCATTTGTTTTCAGCCTTAAAAAGTAGGTTGTTCTAATTAAAAATATTTTTTAAATGAAAAGAATATAATTTGTCAAAAAATCTGTCTATTTTGCAACTTGTAAATATTTTTTTTATTTCTAAAAGTAAACATTCAAAAAACTTCTCATTAAACTAGAACAAAAGCTCTTACCCATTGATTTATTGAATTGGGTAAATATCGGTAGTAATTATTGGTAGAAAAAATAACTAATTTTTATTTCTGAAAAAAATATGAATAAAGGAGCCCTAAATTTGGGTGCACATTAAACTGTAACTTATAAGCGTTAGCTTATTTAACATAAAAAAAAACCACTTAGATGTGATTGAAAAACACAATTGTTTAATAAGCTACAGTAATTTTTATGTTAGCATTTGATAAATGAGTTAAGAACTTATTTTATTTTTAAAATATCAGCAAACTCATAAATTAATTTTATCAAACAATTCTATCTGATTAACTAGCTAAATTATAATTTCCTAATTTCCTGCTCTTATTCCATAAGCATTTAATTATTTTATAAAAATAGTGTGGGATGTGCAAAGAGAAGCACAAACTATTTTTAGTTTTCTAAACAACCAATAAAACAATAATTTCATGAAATTCTGTCTACAATAAAAAAAACAAATGGATTTGACGTGAAATCACATATAGTATTGCATGTGCAGAAGACATGACTTATTTGTATTGAGAAAGACTGGCACATTGAAACGATCATTGAGCACCAGGTGTTTGAGTTTATGTAAGGATGTTGCAATGTAACTGTCAAAAACCAACCTTAGCATCCTTTTCCAAACCACCACTCTTCAACCCAAGCCAACTAACATTGGTTGTGATTTATATCAAAAACCTCTTTTAACTACTAAACAAGGACACTCACGTTGGTTTTGTCCCACAATCACTTTTCAATAAAGTTCGATTCCAATTCTCATTCCCTATTACCTCCCCACTATCTTCCAAATCAACAGTTCCCATTTATGGTGCATTTGGGTTAGTTGTGAAATTTGGATTATTTGATTATAAGTAGTTGATCTATTTATGTCAAAGTACCATTTTAAAATATTTTTCATTTTAATTGTAAAAGTATATTTTGATATAACAAATTATGGAAATGAGTATAGACTAAAATTTAGACAATATGCTTTATATTAGGAGTTTTCACCATGCAACTCAACAAAAATACACTTGCATCCAAAATTCATTTAGAATGCATTGTGGGCATTCTCCAAAATTATGTGTTAAACCATATAACACTTTAAAACAAGATAAAAATTAATGTTTAATTTTTTAAATGACATGTTTTCATTGAAGTGATATATCATTTGAAACAAGATATCTCATGCACAATCTAATGGGGACATGGATAGATACAAGTCATTGGAGAAGGCCTCCTACGTGGGTCCAAGTGTCAACTGCATTTTTGCTTTTCAGTAATATTAATATCATTACGTGTCTTATCGTAAGAGGTTCTAGTTCTGCCAAATAGCATAATAGTATACGATAATCTTGTTTGGTCTTTAAATGTGAAATTCTGACGAAATTTGTGCTTCGGGTAATTTAATAATATATACGAAGAAGAGAATCAAAGCATAAAGGAAGGACAAGGGTGAGAGATACGTTGGTCCCTACAAAGCCAAATAGTTTGATTTTTGAGTGCAAAGCATGTGCTGCTGTCTCACACGGGATGTTAATTTCATGTATTTATTAAAGATTTTTTTCCCTATATTTATTATTAAGTTTTGGTCCATGATAATGGGAAAGAAGTTGAGCTCTAGCTCTGATACCATGTTAAAGTTCTATCTCAAAACCAATTGACAATGAAAGTAGTATTCCAACATGTATTTAAACAATTTTCGAAACAATGAGATAAGCGATGTGGTACTTACTTTTCAACATTTATATAGGCACAACTAGATAAATAAAATAAGAAATAGCATGGTAATTGAGCTTGGGAAATTAATGTTATAATTTTTTTCTCTTACACTTTTTAATAAATGAATTTAGATAAACATTGCCATTAGGGAATTAAGTTAATGTTAAACATGGTGTATTTATATTAGAATATGATTGATATTTTTAGTTTTTTGATATTGACCTTATAGTTTTATTTCCTTATCTTGCATTTTCACATTATTAAAAAGTTTTTCAAGAAGAATTACCTCAAACAATTTTTTTCCCAGTAAGATAATAATATGATTAAATAATAATATACATTTTTTTCCGAACAATCTAAGTTGGGAGCACATCTGTTCACCCGCAAAATGTATCACTCCTTCTATTATCATTTCTGATCAATTATAAATAGTAACATTATATATTTTTTTGGAATAGAAAATTTTCAAACTACCTAAGTGCTATCATATAGGGCTATGAATGAACCAAATCTTTAGAAAGTTATGCACTTATCTACCCGATGCAGCAATGCTGCATAAATTAGAACAATCAATAAATATTTAAATTTTCTAGAGGTGATTTTCAAAAACTCTAAAGCTGAGTTGCATATTCTTTCCCCTTTTAATATATAAAAACAAATTAAAATTTCTCAAATACAATAAGTAACTATACATTAATTTAACGTTTATTTTTCTAACAACATAATTAGACGCAATTGTTTTCCCCTTTCACATGGTAAATAAATTGTTCGAGGATAAGCAATTATAAGTTTTGATAGAATAAGCAATTATAAGCTATCCGGAGATAAAAGTTTTCTCTTAATGTCTTTGTAAGCGTCATTATCATAGTATCAATATAGATTCCTATAATTGCTAAAGTTTAAAGCACATTAAATTAAAGAGTTAAGCAAGTTAAATAGTTAAGTTTTTCTTTATATGAGATCATCAACCTAATTGCATAACAGCAAGCATGTGAGAGGGGAATGATTTGGTGAAATAATCCATAACAAAAAAAATCCATGGAGTGTTATACACACTTTCGTACTTTTTGGTGTCGGTGTATGTTCGCATCGTATTCTTATACCGCCATTCATTCCCTTCTTTCAATCATCTTACATATATGCCTACTGAAAAAACAGTTATGTGATGTAAATTATTGAAAAATCAACTTAAAGAAAATATTCAACTTTGATTTAATATTAAAATAAAAAATATTTAAACTTACTGATGGTAAGTAGTATATTAAGATTTTCTAAGATGCCTCCTGAATTAATGCAAGAGATGGACCCATCGGAGCATAATAAGTCAATATTTTCCACCACGTAACATTTTACTTTTCACTCGACCGTTTATATAAAACAAAGTCAAAGTAAAAGAATTTGCTTCCAAGAAAATGTATCAAATATGATGAAGAGGAATTTACCTTCACATCCAATATTAATACTAATTAAATTAATTAACCGCCCATTACTTCATTAAGTGATCCCTTCATTAATGAAAGTTTATTTTTAGTAGAATGGAGCAAGTTAATCTCAATGGATAGAGATCATTTGTCCACATTCCTATTCAAACGTAATGAAAAAATATTTTTATATTATTTAAAAGATGTTGATTGATCGGGAACATATGAATATAATTATTTTGGGATAGATGATCCCATTTGCCATTACACATTCCATGGCCTAGTTATGTGGCTTACTTCGGTTATCTCAACGTTTGGTTACATTTTTTTATGGATAAGAACGTTTAGGCATGTTATTGTGGCAAGAGAAGCACTTTGTAAAAAATGTCTCCAGAAGTTTTTTATAAATATACATATTAATTCAATTGGAAACTATATAATCAATTACTGGATAATTTGGGGTCATTGGTGGAGGACCACATAATAATTTCTGCCATTAGAACTCTTACATGCTAATTATATATCTAATTTTTTTTCTTCCCATTATTTGGATCTTAATA